AAAAAGTATCATCATTATTGTTGATATATTTGATTTTATTTAATAATATCTTCAATTTTCCATTTCTTGGATCGATGCCGAAAATATAAATAGCAGCTGGTACTAGTGCTATTACTCTATGGTTACATATAGATGACTCATCAAATCAATGTCGAGCTAGAAATCTATTAATGCATTTATGGATGAAACTCGTGTTAAAAATCTGCTATTAACATTTCATGAAATTCATCACTGATATAGATTATTTATGATATTAAATTGTTCTGATCAATTATATTTCAGGAGTTGATTTTAGCGACATCTCACGTTTGTCTTTATTCCAAACAAGGCTCTTGATAGTTTTTAGAGGTACGAAAGTCTAAAAATTTGACAGATAGTCAGTGCTAGTCTATCGAGCACAGTGACTGAGAAGAGCTACCTTTTCAAAAAACGTGACAGACAGTTTTCGCAAACACGACTTGGACTTCAGGAAGGACGCTAACATTTATTTTTATTTAAGTTCGACTACCGAAAGAATAATTTGGATGTAATTTACTGAAAAACAGAACAATCATGAAGTAGTAGCGATCGAAGAAAAAAGAAATTACATTGTGGATTTGCTCACTTTATTGAAAATATTTCTTAAACATGTAAGTTTAGCTACCAACGGCGAAGAAACCTTTCGATAATTTTTAGTTTATCTAACTCGAATTTCTCGTACAGTCCTTCTTTATTTGTAACAAATGAGCACTACTGGAAGTCATTCGCAATGTGGGACTCAATATTTAGTGAATACAAAATCAGTGTTTTCTCAAGCCTATTGTTATATATACTAACTATGAAAAAGGGTCTGTACATTGAAAGTTTCGTATCTCGAAGAAACTTTATTCAAAACTTCTGAATTTTTTTATGGAATGTAGTCTAGTTGAATTCTCTATATACTCAAAATTTTAGATCGCAATTCGAAAACACGAGTCTTCCGAAAACATGGTGCTTCTAGAAAATAAATATGTTAAACATTCGACAGCTTTGTTAAATATCAATAGGCACCAAAATTCTTTTAGAGTTTCTATTAGAAATCAGCTTCCTTGTAGCGCCGCCATCATTGTCAACATAGATCCATCAAATTCAGAAGTCACCTCACGAAATGCATTGAATATTTGTTTCACTTATTTTGAATTACATACACTATTAGTCGTATGTGAAAGGAAATTATGATTATTCAATATGAGATATCAGTGACATCATGAAATAATCATCATTAAAGAGGAATATTAAGGACAAATATGGTAAAATCTAAACCAATCATAAAATATTAATCAATTTTTTCTTGTTAATTTTTTTTGTCAAAGATGTTTGAAGATAATGATGATACACCAGTTAATTTAACAATAAATAAAGCATATGCAAATAAATATCAAACATGGAGAGAAAAAGAAGAAAAACAAAAACGTAAAATTTAATTTATTTTTCTTTTTTCGAAAAAAAAAAGATTAGTTTTTTTTCTCATTTTTTTTAGTAATAGCTCGATATGGAAGTGATATTGAAGACGATTCCGATGAAGAATCTGAAGATGAAAATGCTCAGGTATTAATCAATACAAAAAAAAAAAAATTATAAAAATTTCTTTAATTGATTTTTATTTCTATTTCTAGGAATGGACAAATGAAGTAGAAAAAGAATTTCTTCGTTGTTATTCAATTCTTAAAAAACGTGATCCAAAAATTTATGATTCAAATACAACTTTTTTTAATCTACCATCATCATCAAATGATAATAATCAAATAGATAAAAAGAAAAAAGAGAAAAAAATGAATTTAAAAGATGCCGAAATTCAATACGCTTTTGCTGAAGCTATGAATAAAGATGAAGATCATAATGATAATCATATTCAGTATGTTATACAAATAAAAAAGAAAAGAAAATAATAATGAATTAAATTTTTAATATTTAGAACTAATGGTAAAAAATCAATCATCGAAGAGCAAGAAGAAATTAAAAACAGGTAAATTTATTAAAGTTAAAATTTTACTTTAAATTCTGATCTATTGAGTTTTTTTTTCCAAATTATGATATATTTTCTAGTTAATATAAGCATGAATTACAGTACAGTTGGAACCGATCGAGTCGTGCTGATTTAAATATGCGGATTTTTCTCTGATAGAACGTCATGGGTGTGTCATCGTTGTTTTTATTTTGCTAATTAACTTATTGGGTTTTTTTTACTCTGTACATAGCCTAATCAAAACTGTCGCGTGAACTACACTGATGTTTTGTTAAAGATAAGACTTAAGTTAAAAGAAAAAAAAACAGTAGGTTCTTTAATCGAATATGATTGAGAAGAATAAATAATTGAAATTAGGAAGAGTTGGGAATACATGGATTCCTGAACCGTTAATTCAAAGATGACGTTTTTTGGTATTCAGAACCTATTATTCTCTATTTATAAGTTTTAACACAAAATCCGACCAATTACAAGAAAGTCCGTAATCTTTTTTTTTAAATACCTAAAGAAATCATCATTCAAAGTTGATTACGGTTGATATGAACAATTGACATGAATCTGTAGATTGTCAATATTATTGATACATTATTTTTAAGTTGAAGTCTCCAGGAATCGATGCACTCATATGAAAAGAAAACATGTTTCCATTGATGATTGTTTTACAGTATCGAAACTCAAATTTTCCGTATTAAGAATTTTTTTGTCTAGATCATTCCACATCGAAAGATTGAGTTCTATCACCAGCAAAATTCTGTGGATTTAATCATATTGAACAGTTTATGATTCTCGAATATGTTAAATTTTAAATGAATTCTAATTAATATTTTATTATAATTTAGTTTTAAAAATGCTCTTCCAACGACGGATGATGATGTATTATTGACTAAAAAAATTAAAACTGAAGCAGAAAAAGTAAAGATTTTAATAGAATTTTGTATTATCTTATTCAATTAGTTTTTTAGGCTAAAGAAGAAGAAGTTTATATTGAATGGTTAAAAGGACAAAAAACTGAATTACCTGATTCATCTATTAAATCAGATTTGGTAATAATTTAAAATTATGAAATAAATTATTGATTTGTTGTTGTTGTTTTTTTTGTTCTTCAGAAATATTTACATGATTATTGGAATGATCCATCATTATCGGAACGCGATCGATTTTTACGTGATTTTATTCTAAATAAAATGCATTTACAACATGCTGATGATGATGATGAAGATGATGAAACAAGGTAGAATGATTTTAAGACTTGAAATAAAAATCTTTCTCAGATTGAGTTTAACTATTACAAATAGAACGATTTATACACAAGTCAAATTATGATTTCATCCACTTCGAAAAATTCAATTATATCGTCCGCAATAGAAGGTCATTTTTTGTAGGGAGAGCCTAGCAAAAATTCATATCTATTGTTATTAAAGATTCATTTATCACTCTAAGAAGTTACTTAAATTGTAAACAAAAAATTTAACCAACACATGACATGTTGAAACGATAAGAGGATGAAATTTTAAGATCATTTATAATCTCTGACGGTCGCTTCTTTTGCTATTGAGTTTAACATTCGCCGCAGTTCATTCAGTCGTTTCACAATCTATACTGTTTATTTCAGTCTAAAAGTTAACATTTATGCGTATACACTCATGTGTGAGCCTACACAGGTATCTCCGTCCAATCTCAATGAATTCTCTCAAAAACATTAGAAAAATTGAAATTTCATGCTGAAAATAATTTTTCCAATCACCCGATGTCAAAGAAAAAAAATTCAAAAATATGAGCTCAAATCGTTTGGCCATCGAGAGCTCATTGTTTGTTTATATGTAGAACTCGGCGAAAGTAGTTAGTGCCCAAAAAGATTCGCACTGATACTTTGTCCTTCTGGAGTAAACACTGAACAATACACTCGATTAGCATCCGACAGTTAGGAATATTCCTCCGTTCGTACTAACATAAAGAACTATCCGCGATTATTTCTAAATCTTGTCGATCTTTTGCCGTTCATTTTACTGATTTTCTTTAGTTTAGAATTCCATCATATGATGAAATAATCAATCAAAATGAAGATGAAGATGAAGATGAAGATGAAGAATTTGAAAAAGCTGAAGAATTCGAACGAAAATATAATTTTCGTTTTCAAGAACCTGATTCGGAATTTGTAAATTTAATTAGTTTTCTTTAATAAATTATTCTGTAAAAAAGAAAACATTTCTTTTGTTTTTTATTTTTTTTAGTTAAAACGATATTCACGAACCATTGATGATAGTGTTCGTCGAAAAGATGATCGACGAAAATTAAAACGTGCAGAAAAAAAACAACGAAAAGAATTTGAACGAAAACAAAAACTTGAAGAAATTAAACGTTTAAAAAATTTAAAAAAAAAAGAAATTTTTGATAAAATGAAACGTTTAAAAACTGTTGCCGGTGATGAAGATTTACCAGTTAATATGGATGATCTTGATGCAGATTTTGATCCAAAAGAATACGATCGTCGAATGCAGGTAATATATATACAAATGATCGGTTTTTATTTTTTTGATAATAATAAAAAAAAAAAAAAAAAAAAATTTTATTTTTCAAGGAATTATTTAATGATGATTATTATCAAAAAGGTGCTGATGAAAAAGATAAACCTGAAGTATCCGATGATGAACTTCAAGGTATAAAAATTCATTTTATTTTTTTTCTATTAATTGAATGTTTTTTTTTTTTTTAGTGGAAAATTGGGATAATACTGAAGAAGAACAAGTATCAAAGCCTGTGCAATTGAATAATCAAGAAGAACAGATAACAAAGAAATCGAAGAAAAAATTAAAATTACGTCAAGCTATTGCTCAAACAAAACCAACGTTTGATCCGAGTATGAGAAAAATAGAATTTATTTAAGAGGTATCCCTTACAACATGTCCACAATTTTCGTCAGTTTGTAGAGAATACTTCCTCAATATTGTAATTTTGATATAAATTAGAAGATGTAAAAAAACCACTAAAAATATCTAAATTTTAGAATTAAAATTTATTGTTCCTTACAGAATGGCAACAGGCTCCTTTAATTTTAATGTCGTACATAATTCACATTTTGTACTTATATATTTTGTTGATAATCAAATGGTCTGTTGTAACTCTGTTAGGAAAAAAAAATTTTAATTCTAAAATTTAGATATTTTCATGGATTTTTACATATTCTAATTTATATCAAAACTGTGACACTGAGTTATTTTTTAAATATTTTTTCAATACAACATCTAAATGTCTTATAATTTGAAGATCATATATCTGGTTGATAGGCACTTGTACATACAAAGTTTTATTGAAAACTAATAATGTCAAAGCGTTTAATTTAATGTTTTCATAAAAGCTCTATTTCGCTGACATCAAATTAGCAAATTTTGCACACATCATAACTCCTATTAGATCTTACTCAACGCAAAATATATTTTAATATTCAGACACTTGGAGGTACTCTCTACAAACTAGTCAAATTTGAGGGCATGTAAATGGAGCACAGCGTGTATGTCGGCAGACATTTGGCTAAAAATGAAAATCGTACTTTTGCATGATTTAAATATAGAGAAATATTCTTCAAAATATAATCTATCCAATGATATAAATAATTTTGTTACAATCCTCAAAGACATCGACATACTACTTGTCGAAAAATTAGCCTGAAAATCATGATGTCACCGGGAAAATTGACATTTGACAAATGAAGTTTATTTTTTGAATCTCTAAGTTAAGCCCTATACAATGATAAAAAATCTTTTTTTTTAATTTGCACGTTTAACGTCTGAGAAAAAAATGTTCTTCTATCTCCTGTCTTTAATTCCTATTCTTGAACTGCACAGTAGATTTCCAAAAAACAATCAAGGATTCTTTAGTTATTCTGGTTTTGAAAAAAAAATAGTATATTCGGGATGGGCACATTAACCCTTTAGCGGCGATGTGATCTATCAATGAGTCACACTATATTTTAAAGCCGACGGGTGACCCAGAATAAATGACCGCACTTTGCATTTCATATTTTAACCTCTACACATGTTTTATTAAAAAAACATCAGTATATATCATAAGATGCAATGTGATAAACTCTACAATCTCCATAATCAAGCTTATTTCAATTGTGTGTACTTTTTGTTTTCCTAAAAAGCAAAATTTTGTGCAATCAATTTTCGTAACCTCAAAAATTGGTCGCACATAGTTTTGCTTTTTTTTTTTTTTTTGAAAATAAAAAGTACACAAATGAAATAAGCTTTACTATGTAGATTGTAGAGCCTTTCACACTACATCTTATGATATATTTTGTTTTCTAATAAAACATATTTTAGAGATTAAAATATGAGATGCAAAGTGCAGCCATTTATTCTGAATCATCCGTTACTTTCTATGAAAATCGAATTGTCGCGAAAGGGTTAAACTGCGCCGAACGATATATAATACAAAACAATATTGAAGAAAAAATTTTTCTCAAAACATATTCTTTTTCTCTTAAAAATGCTTTCGTGTGTCATATCGAATCATCTATGATCAAGAAAATGACATGTCCACCTGCCATACGAAAAATGCACAGTGTGAAAGAGGGATTCCTTTAATTAAAAAAAAAGAAAATGTAATAAAATAATTTAAATTTTTGTCTATTTTCTAGAAGAAAAATCTTTTGAACAATATTTTGATGAATATTATAAACTTGATTGTGAAGATTTTATTGGTAATACACCTGTTAGATTTCAATATCGACAAGTTGAACCGAATAATTTTGGTTTAACTGTTGAAGAAGTAATATAAATTTTAAATAGAAAAAAAAGAAAAAGAAAAATTTTAATTCTTTTATTTTTATTTAGATTCTTGCAGCTGAAGATCGAGAACTTAATGCATGGTGTTCATTAAAAAAAACATCACAATATCGATCAAAAGATGAAGAACTTCGAGATTATCATGTTTATAAAAATAAAGCAAAAAATATTGAAAAAAAACAAAAAATTTTAACAAGTGTTTATCAACAAAAAAATGATAAAGATGATAATGATGATGATAAAAGGTAATAGAAATTTTTCTAATTATAAATCAATATTCTATATACATTTAGAGAATTTAATTCGAAAATTTTTATTTTTTTTTTTAATCACTATCTATATTCAAAATACATAGAATTTGTTAAATTTTTGAAAGTTTAGATTTATTCTATATGATGCTCATAGAAAATACTTAAAAAGAAAAAAAACAAAAACAAACAAGATTTTATCTCGTTCAAATGTATCTTCAATAGACTTTTGAATAAAAAAAAAAACTTAATAGACAAAAACAACAAAAAAAGAAATGCATAATCATTTATTGCATGTCATTATAACAATGATTTTCTTTATTACTTTATAAGGTCATATTGTTATTTTTCATTTTGATGAAAATTAAGCATTAAATTTGAGCATCTTTTACACAACCATGTATTTCGCAAATAAGTTATAAAAAAAATTTTGTTTTTTTTAAATTTTCTTTTGTTTCAATGATTTTCAATCGCTCGATTTGCTGATAAATGATGA